TATATATATATATATATATATATATATATATATATATATATATATATATATATATATATATATATATATATATATATATATATATATATACAATTATATAATGCCACATGTGTTTTATCAGATATAAAGTCACTCCACGTGACATATTATGGCTGACATGATTTGCCACAAGGTTTATGAATTATTAATGAGTATTTTAAATATATATATATATATATATATATATTATGGTTGCTACTGGAGTTCCCCAAGGCAGCTGCCTGGGTCCTGTTCTATTTTTACTTTACGTGTCTGGCCTTTCTGAAATTATTTCTAAACATCTGCCCTGTCATCATGCTTATGCAGATGACACACAATTGTATCTTTCTTTTAAACCTCAGAACTCATTGCATCAGGAGGCAGCTGTTAAAGCAATGGAAGATTGTATTGATGAGCTTCGAAACTGGATGTGTGCACATCGTCTTTTTATTCAAAGTAGCAAGACAGAATTTATTATTATTGGCTCTCGTCAGCAATTATCGAAGGTATCGTAGGAGAAGTATCGATTTCTCCAGTAGGCGCTGTTCGTGATCTTGGGTCTTGGTTAGATACTCATATGTCCATGAATTTGCATATTAGCAAAATCTGCAGCAAGGCCTTTCGAAGCCTTTACCATATCAAACAAATCAGGAAATACTTAACTGACGATGCTACCAAAATTTTAGTTCATGCATTTATTACATCCCATTTGGATTATTGCAATTCTTTGCTGTATATGGAATTCCAAAATATCAATTAAATCGATTGCAGAAAGTGCTAAACGCTGCTGCTCGTGTTGTATGTCTCGTACCTAAGTTTGACCATATTACACCTACATTAATGAGACTGCATTGGTTACCGGTTAAATACCGTGTTATATTCAAGATCGTACTGTTGGTTTATAAAGCTCTACATGGATTGGCTCCCAAATATATTCGTGACATGTTGACTTATAAACAAAGTAATAACAACTCTTTGAGATCGGACGAACTAGGGCTTCTTCATGTTCCAAGCACACGTAGAAAGTCGTTTGGTGATCGTGCCTTTTTGAAAGCAGGACCTACTCTATGGAACTTAGTACCGTGTACCGTGTGAGATTCGGCTTTCACCTTCGTTGGATTCTTTTACAAGACAAATCTTAAGACATTTCTGTATAGAGATGCGTACATTAATAATACTTCTTGTTTTTAAATATTTTTAAATAGATGCTTATAGTACTTAAATGTTGAGTAATAACGTAGGGAAATTTTTAAATTAGTTTCCTATTTTATGTAATTAAGCGCTTTAGAATATTGTATAGTTTTAGCGCGGTATAAATTAATAAATTAATTATTAATTATATATATATATATATATATATATATATATATATATATATATATATATATATATATATATATATATATATATATATATATATATATATATATATATACAGGGTGTATCAAAAAAAGCGCAATCCTCGAATGAAATGTAAATTGCTAAACAAATAATAGACGAAAACGTTAAAGTTTACATTCATTTTAAAGCGTAGCCATTCCGCTTTCCAACAGTGGGTTGTTTCTTAAATTTGACTCATTGGTTCGTGGGTAAAAATACTTTACGTTATTGCGATTGGAGATTAAAAAAATTGAGGTGGAATAACTAAACGTTCTCATGAAAATAACTGATTTTTTTCATTAAAACAAAAAAATGTTCCATTTTATTAAATGGATTGTAACAATAAGTATAATTACGGCTTTTCTTCCACTATTTTTAACTCAGTTTGAAACTTCAAATGCGATATAATTTTGGCTTGGACCATCTAAGCTGACTGACATCAACTTGCTATAATTTCTGTTTACATTACATCGCAATTCGATGACACTCTGGCTCAGACACCAGAATTTTTTGACGATTTTTAGCATTCGTATAGGATTTTCAAACAACCTGGTCTCTTTTAAAATACTTTTAATTTGTTCTTATATGTGGTTTTCCAGATGTAGTGACGACAACATTAAAGTTTAAAGAAGAAAATTCTAACATTTAAACCGACTAAACAATAACATAGTAAACTTGCATAATTAAACAGCAACTAAAAATGATAGGTTTTACTAAATCTTTTCCTGTGCAATTATTACTAGCATTGGAGACAAGGATAATACTTTGTTTGAAAGAGAAAAGAGCAGGCTTTGAAGTAAGCCTAAAAGCGTTTAACTAGAAATAGTATTTCGAAAGTTATTAAGCACAAAAGATGAATTCTCGTAGCCAATAGGATGGCCGCACCTCCTCGTAGCCAATAGGATGGCCGCTAATACGCTAGGTATGAGATAAAGCTACAAACCCGTTTCTAGTTCATGAATCTTGATTGAACGGTCTGTTGATGCAGAAATAACAGTGGTCCCAGTTGAACTAACAGACGTCAGTAATGCTAGTACTTTATCAGTATGCTTTCTAAATATCTTGATCAGTGGCCCAACGGGTTCGGAGAGGCAAGAAAAGAGTGGTAAAATATGGCAAGTCTTTGTACACGATTCACGAACGCGTTTTATAAGGGCGTTCACAGTTGGGTGTTCGTTGGCAGAAGATAGCAATCTACCTGCAAAAATACATCAGTATTAGTATGGGTGAGATATTGCTGTTTTAATATTCTTGGTGATAGAGTTACCCAAGCTTGACCTTCAGTTTAGAATTCCTTTTGCAGTAATGACCGCATGAAAAAGAATTGACCGTTATGTACCTCCACAGACACAGTCTAATTCAACTAAAGTTAATTTAGTTTAGGTTTCCTTCGCTAGTAACACTGGATCAGTAAGACTGAGATGACCTTTAATTTACTGGACTCTATAGGAAGAACATTTTAGGGCACTAGTATTAAGATTAGAGAAGAGAAGCTAACCCAAGTTTTATTCGGCAAACTACGGTATATGATTTGAATTATAGCGAGCTTGAGCAAGCGACGTTTTTGTCAACACGAACGTCAGATTGCCGAGGGGACTGGATTAAAAAAAATAAAATTGAAAACTGTGTTTGTATCAGTTTGTGGTAATCTTCAACACATATGACAAAACATAAGATTTCTGCTTCCTTACACGAGCGCTATGATAACATGCCGCCAAAATTAGACACACCAATTTTCGGGTTACGTCCGGGTTGACAAAAACGTCGCTTGCTTAAGCTCACTATTACCTAACAGTTGCGGACCCATAGAATCGGGCGTTTTCTCGATGACGTCAGCAGATAACATTAACGACGATTTGAGCAGTTTAATTTCGTGCGAAGCCGTACCCAAGAAACGGAAATCGGAAATTAAAGATGGCAAATTTGTCTCTTTTACTTTCTGTTGCAGCCAATGAAAGTCAAAGAACAGTTTAAGTAGTTCTCCATATTGCTCGGACGAGTGTAGGTGATAGGGTAAATACCTAGTAACAATAATAATAATCAGAATTATGTGCGTCTAGCTGACCTGATTTAACAATTGTGGCAAAATTTAATAATAAATAAACAAATAAATACATAATATAAACATAAATAAATAAATACGGACAGGTGATCAGCTCTACTAGAACATCAACACAAAAAAAGACTGCAAGCTAGGAAGGTGATTACGATTTTAAATTAATTTCAATTTAATGCTAAACCAGTTTATTCTAGTAAACATGCGATGTGCCTACTCCAAACTGATATATTTCTAGTGTATTTGAAGGATTGCGTACCTAAAGTGATACTCTTTATTGCCTTGAAATTTCGCCCATTCTTCATTCACACATTGAGAACGAAGCGCTTCAAGAAACGTGTATTGAACTTCGATTATTGTATCGCGAAGCTTTCCTCGTGCAAAGTCCAAGAGAAGATCATGAACACGGTAGCTGTTCTTCCCTTGCAGTTCAGGTCCTGAAAAAGAGTCGTTAGGGATCGTTCAATGATAATGGCCGGTCTTACACTACAGACGGATGATCTGTCTGTGTATAAAGTGGATGATCTGTCAAGACGAACTTGCATGGACAAAGGAAAATTGATAATTCTTCCGTGTATAAACGCACAGACGAATCATCTGGTCATGCCTGTATATTTTGTTTTTGTGCAGGCAGCGAATGTTCAAACTTGGTTTAGATTAAGTTTTGAATTTGTAGTTAGCCCCTTATATTATGGAGGTACCTTCTGCAGCCTCGTATCCAGGCGCCATAGTTTGCTACGCCCTTGCCTAATCAGTGCGTGTGGAAATAGTTCTCCGCAGAATATTAATTTTTCCCCTTGTGAGTCGCCCTGCTGATATTAGGGACCGGTCATAAAGTAACTGCTAGGGTGGGCTGGAGTGATTTGGGATGGGCCATGGAAAATCTTTGGGCAGTTTTGATGGGCCGCCAATTTTTTTGTATGCCCACGGTTGGGCCACTAAACAAAAACCCATGAATGTCTACTTCAAAAAATAAATATGTTAATAATAAAAGTGAACAAAACTATCCAAATTATCAAATGCAAATGATGCTATTGAAGCAGTACTTTATTTATACAACAACAAGACGTGGTCGAATCACAGCAAATACAACCAACTGGAGAGCAGCTCAGTATCAACGCGTTCGTCAAGCTTGGTGGAATTATGTGTGTCAATACAGTGCCGTGTATTTTACAATGTTCATACCTGCAAGTTTTATTTATTATAAAAGTGTATTTTCCCAATTTAAGATTGGGTGGGTCATGAAAAATTTTTTGTAAGATAAGATGGGCTTTGAAATTTTTATCTACATCCTAAGATGGGTCACCGAACTTATTGGCAAAATTTGTGATTTACCTCCAGCCCACCCTAGCAGTTACTTTATGACCAGTCCCTTAAACAGATTTAGATCGAGGACGCGGACGTCAAGGACGCGGACGTGTTGTGCCCATGTAAGGATATGCCACACCATTTTGACGACATTTTCACGTCGTCTTTGACGTCCGCGTCCTCGATCTAAATCAGGGCGAAGGGAGAGAGGGCGTAGAAACGGCCATACATCGAGCGGACCCATCCGTGATGCGGGCTTCGCGGGGGGTAAGACGTTCTAATTGTAAACAAATATGGCTACGCGTATATGACCCATCAGAAGGTATGCTGAAACTATTGCTTTATAAAGTATTACTTGTGTAAAATTTATATGTTTTTGTTACTTTCAGCTACTATAAGAAACTTAAAGATAAGATTTAAGTAACAAAAAACTTTATTTCGGGTGTTATTTTATTTCTATACTCTGTTTAATTTGGTGGTTAAAAATGGCCGTCGAAATGTTGTCCGAGAGTGTTAGCGCGCACTGCTTCCTGATAAAAAACCAATGATTTCCAAAACCTAAATTATAATTTGTTATTAAGTTATGATGAAAACCTTTGCGTATACAAAATTATAGAGTGAGCAAACATGAGACAGATAGGTTTTGAACCTTTCAAAGTTCGAGGTCGAATTGACAATTGAAATAGTACCAAACTCCAAGCTGAAATGTACAACTAAATCGTGTATATTTTTGTCAATTTTGTTCACTGGCCTTTGTTAAATTCACTTGCAATGGCTCGACATAAGTTACAACATACAAACTGAGCAGAGCCCATGAAAGAGCTATCCATACCCATACAGTCATTCAGCTTCCTTGCTATTTAGAAATTGTTGCCCATTAGCTAGTTGAAGAATTGCTATTGTATGCGCTTGTTTGCACTTCCTTTCTTAAAAAAAGTCTACAATACTAAGGCTAAATAGCAGAAAAATATGACCCAATAATCCATGCAATTAAAAATATCTATCAAATTAACTTCAAAAATCATGATTTGAGGAATTATATCTATTTAGGCAATCAACCCATAATTTGGTGTACTACAAAACTATATTGACTGAAGTTTTGGAAAAATTTAGCCAACTTTTGAAGGATTTTATTAGGTCCAGTTCACATGAGACTGGAACGAAGTCAATTAACCGGGACCATTTCGTTTTGGTCATTATATTATGTCTAATAGATGTTTACATGAGGTCTCAAGTCATTCCGCCTGCTGGACCAAGCCGACTGACTCAGATCAGTATGAATTCAGACTGGAATGAATGTTGACATTGGAACAAGTGAACAACACATACTAACAAAAGTCATCTAAAAAAGAAAATTGTCTGACAAGGGGAATAAATTGAAAATTTTGTGATTTTCATACTGGTCTCATGTAAACATGTTGACATGCAATTTCAATTTTCATTCCAGGTTGGTTTCATCCTGGTCTCATGTAAATGGGGCCTTACAAACTGTGATTCAGTATCATGGGATGAGATTAGGGGCCTGTTTATATGATCTCGGCCAGGCGGGACGGGATGCTTACCGAGATCCCACTCGTAATACAAATGCTAAAGAGTGTTTCTTTAAAGAGTGTTTGCAACGGATGCCGGGATCCTGCCTAAGCGAGATGAAAAATTCCCATATAAAAACACTTCATCCAGCCTAGCCGGGATGAAAAATTCCCATATAAACACTTCATCCCAGTTAGGCGGAATGAATTTTTCCCTTTTGGGCATGCGTAAATGCCTTTATTGCAACAAAAATATGACGTCAAGCACTATGAGGCGCGGAATTGGACATTATTCTGAACTTACTATATAACATGCTAAATTCAAAATATAGATGGCATATTTTACATACACAGTGATAATTTTAAAAAACTTGTGCTAAACTTATAAAGGCCATTCTAAACATCATCATATACATTCAGAACTTCTTGCATCGTGTTGTCAAATTATATAACTTATTCTAAACTTTTAAATAACATGCCAAAGTTTTTATAACATGCCAAACTTTAATTTTGCCGCGACCCATTTTACATCGTATTCCAAATTTTCATGTGACATGCTAAACTTCTATCATATGCTGAAAGCACTTTTATATCTTGTTGCATAATGCATTGCGTTCGCGTGCCTGCACAACCCGACAAATCACAGCCTGTGTCTGAGCTAAAAATCGGCAAATAAGTGGAAACCTTCGAACTGCTCTTTGTAATATTGCTCATGAAGCTAGGAACTTATTCGACAATTTCGACGCCAATCTAGAGGCAGTTGATGCAATCTACATCAACAACAACGCAACCTGCTCCAGAAGGCGACAGAGAAAGAAGTGTGACGGTCGTAGACTCGTAGGCCCATAAGTACAAATGCGAGTAATATATAGGGCCATTCCATTTAGGCCACTATTTGTTGCATATTAGTTTCTCATCCGGGGCTTCATCTAAAGTTGATGCGGGCGGGCGGGCCATTACCATTATGCCATTATTTGCCAGATTTCCCCCTCTCCGTAAATATTACTTTGAAAAAGTGCGCAATTAGCATTTATAGCATTGCAAAACAGCAGAAAATTAGTGAGTGCAACTGAAACTATGTTTTCATATTAAAAACATGGCCACATGTGAAATAATCACAGAATAGAGAAATCATTTTGTGGCCAAGTCGTCTCGCGTTTTTTCCCCTGCCCCTAGCTTCCAGTAGAACTTTTACGTAAATGCGAGAGAAACTGGCAGTTTTGGTATGAAATTCCGTATCTTAACTAAATCTTTTGGTTTGCGACCATTTCTAATTGTCTTTCTTTCAAATATCATTTTGAAGACATCACAAAATTTGTAATAATGGTCAATAATGGCAATAATGGCGAACAAGACCATTTTCTTAAAAAGCATGCGGGCGGGGATGAGAAACTAATACACAACAAATAGTGGCCTTAATATGCACACCCCCCTGTTGACGAGATTTTCCAAAGGGGGTCTGAAATTATGAATTTCTGAGAGGGTGCTAAGTTGAAATTTCTGGGGGGGTTATAAAAGGACAATTTCTGAAGGAATCAACTTTTTTTAATTTCCGAGAGGGGGGAGGGTGGAGAGGAAGATACTACCTGTTGACGAAAATTTCCGAGGGGTGGTCAATAAATTTCCGAAAATTTCTGAGGGGGGGTGAATAAATCAGTCGAAAATTTCCGAGGGGTCTATCGTAATGGAACCACGTCAACAGGTATTTCCGAGTACCCTGGATTCCAGAGCCTTCAGTAAATAATAAATTGAAACGTCGTGAAGGCTCTGGTTCAACGGGAGAATTCTTTGATTAAACCGCGCCAATCACAAAACAGAATTAGCGATTTTAGTACCGATTCCGTACTAAAACAACTAATTCTGTTTTGGCGCGGTTTAATCAAAGAATCCTCCCGTTGAACCAGAGCCTTCACGACGTTTCAATTTATTATTTACTATTATTTACTGAAGGCTCTGGAATCCAGGGTAATTTCTGAGGGGCTTGAGAAAAATCGTAAATTTCCGAGGGGTTTCTACAAAAAATAGCGAATTTCTGAGGGGGTCTCTCTCTCTTAGACCCCTTCCGAAAAATCGTTTCGGAAGGGGTCTAAAATCACTAACCTAGTCAACCGGGGGGTACGTGTGGATATTAAATGGAATGGCCCTATATTACTCGCATTTGTACTTATGGGCCTACGACCGTCGCACTTCTTTCTCTGTCGCCTTCTGGAGCAGGTTGCGTTGTTGTTGATGTGGATTGCATCAACTGCCTCTCGATTGCCAAACTATTTCGATCGTCGAAATTGTCCTATAAGTTTCTGTAGCTTCATGAGCAATATTACAAAGAGCAGTTCGACTGTTTCCACTTATTTGCCGATTTTCAGCTCATGCACAGGCTGTGATTTGTCGGGTTGTGTAGGCACGCGACCGCAATGCATTATGCAACACGATATAAAAGTGATTTCAGCATATAATAAAAGTTTAGCATGTCACATGAAAATTTGGAATACGATGTAAAATGGGTCGCGGCAAAGTTAAAGTTTGGCATGTTATAAAAAACTTTGGCATGTTATTTAAAAGTTTAAAATAAGTTATGTAATTTGACAACACGATGCAAGAAG